GGGGAGGGTGAGCCGGGGGTGGGGGGGCCACGGCCCCCCTTTTTCCTGCCGCCGCCAGCCCCTCGCCCCCGCCCGTTTCCTGTCTCCGGCTGCTGCTATTTTCAGGCTGCAGGCGGGGAAGAGCTGAACGGCGCGGCCACGGCGGGGGACGGCCTGGCACATGCACCAGCCACCCCCAGCACACCACTGGGCACCCACTGGTGACACCCCCATCATCCCCAGTGACACCCCACGGTCCCTCCGGCCACCCTCGCGCACCCCCGGAGCATCCCCCCGATGCCAGAGGGGATGAGCTGCTGGTGCGGGGTTGGGGGTGCCACCAGCTCGGGGCTGAGCCCCCCGGTGCCGGGAGGAGCCCGGCAGGATCCGGCCATGCTGCCTCACCAGGGCGTCATCGCCGGCCCATCCGCCCGCAGCATCCGCCCCCGGGACCTGCCGGCTGCCAGCCCCGGCCCCCGGCACGGCCAGGGCAGGAACCGGCCCAGTTCCTGCAGCACCTCCGACTTCCCCTGCAGCTGCGACAGGGCTGGTCCCGGGACCTCGCGTCCCGCCTCACCGGGACCCCACAACCTCCCCCCCCGGGGAACCCACACCCCCCCAGGACGCTGCGCTCACCCGATGTGGTTCGTCCTCAGGCTGATCTCCAGCTCGCGCAGGACTTTGGTCGACTCCTGCACCCTCCTCCTGAACTTCTGGGGGCACAGCAAGGCTGAGCCACGCTCCCCCCAGACCCCCCATCTCCCCCCCACCCTCAGATCGGCGTGGGGACACCAGCATGGTGGCACAGCCCCCTGCCAGGACCCCCCTATGGCACCCCCAAGCCCCCCACCTGGTCGCAGATGAGGTCCCACTTCTTCTCGTTGTCATACTGGCGGAGGAGCCGGGCTTTGTCCGGGGGCAGGTTCATAGAGCTCTGTGGACAGACGGGGGGGTCTCACCCTGGGGGACACGGGGATGCTGCTCCCCTGAGGGCACCCCGTCCCATGGCACAGCCAGGGACCCCCCCCCAGGCACCCAGCCCTACGGCGTGGCACTGGGAAGCACTGGTGGACATGAGGTCACGCATGTGGCACTGGGACGGCGGTGCCACGTGCCAGCACCAAATCTCTCCAGTGCCAGGGCGTCCTTCCTGTCTGCGCCCGCTTCCTCGCCGGCAAACCGCAGCCTCCGCTCCCCGACCGCAGCGCGAAGCCCGGCTCACCGGGGCGCTGGGCACCGTCGGGGGGAAACCCTGGGGGCAGGATGCAGCCCGGGCCACCGGTGTCACCACGGACACAAACGGGATGCCACGGTGGAAATTTGGGATACAGGGTGGTCACGGGCTTGGGGCTGCCCTGGCAGGCGATGGTCACCGTAGTGGACGGTGCCACCCCGGTGGGCGATGCCACGGACAGCGCCGTCAGCAGGATCCAGCCACCACCGCAGCCGAGAGGCAGGAGCTGACACTCCACCCACCCCATGGAAGCTAAAATTATCCCTCCCCTGGTCACCCCGGCCCCGCGGAGCCACAGGAAAGCAGGGCAGAGCCTGGGCGAGGTCACGCACCCCCGGGGGGGGGCAGACACAGTCCCACAGGAGCTGGGATGTCACCACCGGGATGGGGAACACCCAAAATCGCCCTGGGGACGGGGACGGTGCCTCCCTCCCCATTGGGCCGGGATTATTTGGACACCCATGGCCAAAGGCAAAATCATGGGGACACCCCCAGGACGGGCGCGGGGTGGGGAGACACAGGGAGGCCCCAGGAGGGGGTGGGGGGCACCAGGGGGCTTTGAAGTGCAGCCGCCCTCGCTGGCGTTCCCGCCGCTCGGCTTCCTGCCTTTGTGGCGGGAGCGGGGCTGCTCCGGGGCCGGCGCTTCCTCCGCTACTGCCCCCCACCCGGGACCACCCCCCCAGCTGGCCTGGGACCGAGACCCCCCCCAAGGAACCAGGGGCTACCAAGGGGTTGGGGGGACACCCGGGGACTGTTCCTGCCCCTTCGGGGGCCACCGGCACCGCAGCCCCATCACATGATGAAATATTTCCCTCCACGGCAGTAGCCGGGATGGCACCGGGCAACGCCAACGCTGGTGGGGAATGGGTTTTGGGGGTGGCAGCATGGGAGGAACCTCGGGTGCTGTCACCCCCCAAAATCCACCCCCTCACCCAGCGTCAGCCGGCAGGATGCATCCCCCCCCACCACATCCGGCCTGCGTGGGATGCGGGGACGGGCACCGGCGGGTGCCACTCACCACCTGTGGGGCAGCCCCTCACTGGGGGTCCTGGTGCCCCCCAGTACCCCTTAGTTCTGGCTCCCAGAGCCCCACGGGGCCACGTTTGGCATTTCCTGCCCAGACGCAGCTTCCGCCGGCTCTGGCCACCCCCGGGACCGCAGGGGCTGCGTGTCCTGGTGTCACGGTCCCTGGTGGCCCGTGGTGGTGGCCCCAAAGAAAGGCAGCCCCGTGCCAGCACCACGGACGGGCCACCCCGCTGCGCCCAGAGGTGGGAGGTGGTGGCCCCACGGCATCGTTAGTCCCTGAGGGCACAGGGATGAGGGCGTGGGGACGGGGTCACGGCCACGGCCACCGGACAGACAGCACGGAACCCTTGGCCAGTGGCCACTGCGGGATGGCCACCGCCCTGATGGGATGGCAGAGTAGGGAATGCGCGGGGCACCCGCACCCCCGGGGATCCCGCATCCCCGGGGATCCCGCACCCCCCGGGGATCCCGCACCCCCCAGCATCCCGCACCCCCGGAGCAGCCGCGGTGCCCCCCCCGCTGGGACTTTCCCTGGTCAAAAAGTCCCGGTGGCACCGGGAGTGGCGTCATCCCCGGGGGTTGTCCCGGGACGGCCTTTCCCCGGGGCTGCCCCCAGCCCCGCAGCCACTCTCCGGTCCCGCGGGCACCGGCACCCCCTGCCCGCTCCCGGCCCCTCCGGCCGCCGGTGCCGTCCCCGCCGGTGCCGGGACGGCGGGAGGGGAGCGCGGCGGCAGGGCGCGTCCGGCCCGGGAGGGGT